CCCCCACCAGAAAATCGCTAATCGGTTTCGTATTCGTGTCGTGCGTGCCGGCGAGGAGAAGCTGTGTGGGCGGGCGAGGGCCACACGACCGCTCCTCCCCCCCAGTTGGCCGGCGATGGCCAGGGGTATCCCGCCGTGGTGTCCTGATGGTGTCCCGTGGTGTCCTGTTGTGTCCCATGGTGTCCCGCGGTGTCCCGATGGTGTTACGATGGTGTACTGTCGGTGTCGTTCTGTACCCTGTCGGTGTCCGGTAGTGAGATCGACAGTAAGATCGACAGTGAGATCGATAGGAGATCGATAGTGAGATCGATAGTGAGATGGATTGAATGGGATCGGTAGTGATTCTGATCGTGATGGGGATCCTGGGATCGATGATGGGGTCGATCGTGAGATCCTTAGTGAGATCGATCGTGAGATCGATCGTGAGAATGGTAGTGAGGTCGTTGGTGAGGTCGATCGTGAACTCGATAGTGAGAACTATCGTGAGAGGGATCGTGAGATCGATTGTGAGATCGATCGAATGAGATCGATAGCAAGATCGATTGTGAGATCGGTAGTGAGACCGACAGTGGGATCGACAGTCATCTCGATAGTTGTATCGTTCGTAGGATCGATAGTGACATCGATCGTAAGATCGATAGTGAGATCTATACTGAAATCGAGAGTGAGGTCAATTGTGAGATATGTAGGTGTATCGATAGTGAGATGGATAGTGATATCGATTGAGAGACTTTGGTTCCTCCCCCTAACCTCCTTATCACCCGAAGGGTAGGCGTATAGGCATTCATGCATGCACACAACATCTGTAGAGAGAGAGAGAGAGAGAGAGAGACAGAGAGAAAGACAGAGAAAGAGAAACGAGACGTGGAGAGCGATAGGGAGAGGGTGGTCGGGCTATACACAGGAAGCGATACATGTATATATATATAGAGAGAGAGAGAGAGAGAGAGAGAGAGAAATAAACAAATACCAATAGAGATAACACAACAGACGGAAGGATGGCAACAAAGACCACGGCCGATTTCACATTCCCGTCTTCAGGTCGCTCCGATGGATCGTTTCTGTGCAATGGGGGGGCGGTCAGAGCAGTTTTCCGCATTGGCTCAAGTTGGCTCAAGGCCTGGCTCAAGCGAAATATCCTCACACCCTGACCGTCGGCCAGTTTCTGACCATCTTGCCAGCGCCCTCACCGCACACTCTTTGTCAGTGCTGCGCCATGGCCGGGATGGACATCGAGGCCGAGGGATCCAGCGTCACGCAGGGCATGTTTGATCTGAACATGGCAGCTGCGCCTGGCACCCAGGTCGCCGCCGCACCAGCGCCCACAGCCGTCGTCGAGACGCCCTCGGCTTTCGCGGCTCTGATCGAGCATGAGATGCTCGCGCATTTCGAGCTCATCCAGGCGGCGCAGTCGATCAACGGCCGCACCGTCGTCCCACGCTCCCTGGACACGAAGATGGAGTTCGACCACGTCCTGCAGGCGCTCGCGTGCGCCGCGGACGCTGCCGAGCCTTGGAGCGTCCTCGGGTTGGCACCTTCGGAGGGCCCCGACATCTCGTTGAACGCCATTGGGACGCGCCTCCGCTTCGTCAAGCTGCTGGCCTCAGTGATAAACGGTGCAAGCTGGCCTGAGCAGTACAAATCCGACGCCCTCACGTCCGTGCAGAAGATCTCCAACGCCGCCGAGGCCTGCTTCGACTCCTTCGACGCGTGGGTCCGGGAGAGGAAGCGTGCACGCCCCTCCAAACTCCCCCTCTGGAGGGAGCTGGGCAGTCGCGCTCTGAAGGTTGTGCTCGACACCGCACCTTTGGGGACGGAGCTGGTGGGCACCCAGTGGTCGAACCTGCAAGGCGCTGCGGGAGAGTCGGCGGACCCCCGGTACAGTTCCAGAGAGCCGACTGTCGCAGTGGCCCGCCTACTGGCCGATCTCGCGGAGAAGGGGGGCCCCGCCTTCTGGGACGCCGTGAAGGCCGCGGGGAAACCCGTCTCGATATGGGCCCCTTCCACTTCGTCAGCATTTGGTCGCTAGATGTCACCATTGTTGCGCCGAAGCGCCACCGAGGTCCCGCGCGATTGCATCCGCTTCTTCGTGCCGCTGGATTTGCACCCTGGCTGCGCCGGCGTCGAGTCCATCTGCGACTTGTGGTGGCGCGATCTCTCGGGCGACAAGTGGCCTGGCATGGCCCTTAACGTCGACATTCACCCACGACCGTTCGAGTTCATCTCCCCTGGCCCTGCGGGTCCCCGTCGCGAGCTGCGCGGCCTGGCGATCTTCGCGGTCTCCTCTTCGCTGCTTTGCCGGGCGCCGCGCGTCCGCGACCTGGGGGCGCCCATCTTGGCGGTGGCCGCGCTGCCGACGTGCATTATGGTCTTCCCTTCCGCCGTCGGCCCGCAGGTCGTGCGCGTTCTGCGCGGCAGTCTGGGTTCATCCGCGGTCATCGGACGCATCTACCGCAGCCCCGGCCACGCATAGGAGACGCCCAGCGGCCGCGTCGAGATGCGCTTCGCCACCCGCGCGCCCCTCGTAGTCGAGGTGGGCCATGCGGGCGCCATCGGCGCGTTCTGCAACGTGTGTTCGGGGGCCCTCTTCTTCGCCAAGTCCGCTGTCCTCCTCGCCGCGGAGGCCGCCCCCGAGACCTGGCAGGCCGCCGTGGACGCAATGCTGCAGAACGGCCCCGACTCCGCGGAATTCAAGCTCAAGCGCCGCCCCTCCCGCCATGGAGGTTGGCAGTTTGCCGCCCCGTCGGCCCTCCAGGCTCGACTGGCGGCCGCGCGCCATGCGAGGCAGACGAGAGGAGGCGCTGCGAGCCTCCAGGCCGTCGCGGACGTCGAGATCAAGGGCCGCCTGCATGCGGGCGAGCATGCGCTGGTGCAGCCCCTCATGCAGCACCGGGCCCTGCAGGCTGGGCTCCACCTCGCGGAGCAGTCCACCACCGGGGGCCCCAAGACGAGCTCTTGGAAGTGGTTGTCGGCTTCGGACCCTTCCGCGCCACCAGGCCGCGCGAGGCTGTTCTTGAGAGACCTCTCGGAAGTTCGGGCGGTCCGCGACGAGCTCCATGACGGGGGCGCCCGGGTGGGCATGGGCACTTTCAGAGCGTTTGTGCACAACGACCTGCGAGACCAGGTTGGGGGCGCAGACGCCGCCTCATGACTTGCCCTCGCGGGGTCTATCACCCGGGCAATCGACGACTCAGGTTGCGCGCTCCTCATGTTGGACGTCGCGCTTTACCTCCTGGACCTCGCGCCCGCGAGCTACTGCGCAAACGTCCGCGATGGGAATAATTCGAATGCCGCCGCTACTGTTCCCCATCGCCTCCCTCCATTTCTGCCGCCGCCTCGCGAGCAAGCGCTGCGGGCGCCCCGACGCCATGATGTTCGACCATCTCTTCTCCGGCGATCTCTCGTTCGACGAGCGCCAGGCTTCTCCGCGCCGGCTTTCCCGGCCGGGCCCGGGCCCGCCTCGCAGCGGCCGTGCCCGCCAGCGCCGAGAACGGCGGTGGCGTCGCGCCCGTTCAGGGGAGATTAGTCCATCTGCACCTGGAACGCGCGGGCCCTCTTCGCCGAGGATGCGGCCCGCCGCGGCCTGAAGTGGGGGAAGTTGCTGCGCCTCCTGAGGGGCCGCGACGTCGTTGCGATCGCCGAGTCCCATGGCACGAGCGACTCTTTGCAGCTCACCCAGGCCCCTGCTGGCACCGCGGCGCGGTGGGCCCGGGGCACCTCCCGCCGAGGAGGTGTCGGAGCGGTCGTCATGGAGTCTTTCCTGCAGCAGTTCACCAGTCGAGATTGGACCACTCTTCACCCCGGTCGTGCTGCGGCGCTCCATCCTGGCGGGCTTCTCGGCTCCATGGGCGTTTTCGTGTCTCATTGTAGTGGCCTCCAGCCAGTGCCGCCGATCTGGGGCGCCCCCGTCGCTGCCAGAAGTACGCGATGGCGGTCGTGATCGGCGACGACGGCGAGCGGTGAGGATGATGGCGAGGATTAGGGATAGATGCAACGGAGTAGGGTGATGAGGAGGAGGATCATGATGAGGTGGGGTGGGTGGGCTGGGGGTAGGACTTGCAGGGTGCTGAGGATGGGGGTGGGTGGGGGGGGGGGGCAGGGGGCAGCGGGGGGTGGAAGAGGGGGGGGGATGGGCATGGCGAGTTTGAGGGGATTTTCGGCGGTTGTTGGGGATGTTCGGCGGTTGTTGTCGGAAAGCTTCTTTTGGGCCAGGTGTTGGCCCCCTTGTGGGTTGACACCCCGCCGATTTGGCGCGCTCTCTGAAAAGCTTTGTGTTGGGGCTGTTTGCGTCGGAGTTCTTTGTGGAGCCTTGTGTGTCGCCGGTCTCTGCTGGGGGCCGTGGTGTTTTTGGGGTCTCTGGGGCCTTCGCGCGTTCTTCTGCGGGCCCTCGTGGGGTCGCGGATGCGGAGGGCGCCGAAGACGGGGGGGGATGTGAAAGCGGGGAAGAACCATGTGCATTGCAGCGTTTGTGTTCAAACGTCAGCGCTGTGGAAGCATTGGGGTCGGTTTTGGGCTTCCCGGGGCGGGTCTTAGAGGCAGCTTGGAGGCCTCTAGGAAGCGTCTCCGGTGCTTTTTTGGGAAACTCTTGGGGGCCTATATGGGGGCTTGAAGGCGCCTCTTCGGGGCCAGTTGGGCGCGTCTTGGGGCTTCGTCAGGCCTCTTGGGCTTCTGGGGGCCTGCTGGGGGCTTCGAGGGCCGTCCTCGGCATCTCTTCCGCCGTCTTAGCGCCTCTTGGGCCCGTCCCGGGGCCCTCTTGGGCCTTTCCGGGGGGGCCTCCCGTGCCATCTTGGGCCATTTTTGGGCCGTCTTGGAGCCCTCTTGGCGGCCTCTTGGGCCGTGTTGGGGCTCTCTTGGGGCGTCTGCGAAGCTCTGGAGGCCCGAGAGGCGAATGTGCTAAAATTCTACGTTTTCCTTAGTGAATGGGGCACTTTTTGCTTCTTTGGGCTTCTTTGGGGGGCCTTGTCGGGACTTCTGAGGGCATCTTGGAAGCTTCTGGAGCCGTCTTGGGGACATCTTGGGCGCCTTGTGGCGATCGTTCGGCGATTCGAGGCCCTCTTAGCCCATATGTTGGGGCCCTCCTGGGCGAGGGGGGCCGTCCCAGAGTGAGCTGGAGCTCCGATTCCGCCCCGGGAATTGAATCGACCCCCCTCCCTTCCCCCACCCCGGCAGAGCCGCCCCGGCACCCGCCCCCCAGTAGAGCTGAAGCTTAGGAATTGAGGCTCAGGCTGTTCCGGGGGTCTTTGAAACTCACGCGCCGGATCGGCGGATTTCCAGACAAGCGCTCCCGACGACTTCTCCGGCCCCGTAGTTGGGCGCGCCGATGGCTCGCAGATGGAGGTGACGGACGTTGCCCCACTGGTTCAGCAACGAGGCCAGTTTCGCCGCGCCATGGCGCGGTCCACGCGGGCGTCCCGCGACGCCCTGACCATCGTCGCTGGCGACTTCAACTGGGTCGCCGAGGAGCGGGGCATAATCTCCAAGACCACTAGGGCTGCCACTGGGAAGCGGGACCGTGCAGAGGAGGCGCACTGGACCAACCTCCTACCAGGCTTTGCCGAAGTCCACCAGCCCTGCAAGGCGCACAGCTCAGCCCAGACGCGCTCGCGCCTCGACAGGATTTACGTGAACATGGAGGCCGCGGATCTGCTGGGCCGACAGGTCACGATCGGCGTGGACGATTGGAACTTCCAGATGTCCAAACGCCAGGCCGAGTTCTTCGCGCGCCGGACCGCTGCCAAGGCCATCGACCGCCAGGCCCATTTCGTCAGTGTTGGTTCGGCGTCCGGGCTGGGCTCGAACCGTGGCACTTCGATGCAATTCCCTCTTCGCCGGAGAGGCTGTCGTGGACGAGGTTCACCGTCTCGCCGCGCTGCGCAAGTCCATGTTTGATGCGTCCATCTCCTTCGAGGCGACGCGCGCCGCCCGCCGGGCCGCGGCGGCCGACGACAAATGGGGCCGTGTCATGGCGTTCGTCAGAGCAGCGGAATCGCACTCCACGGGTGCAATTTCGGCGGCCATCGAACGGCGCCCGCACCTCCGCACCCTGGTGCCCAACCCGCGCGACCCCGCATTGGCGATGGGACCGGGGTTCGCCCCAGTCCGGGATAGAACTCGCCCGCGAGCGCGCGATCGCGGAGCTCGCGCGCTATCGCGAGGCGCCCTCCGATTTTCCGGAGGAGCTCAAGCATCGCGCCCGTCAGAAGAACCTTCGTCTCCTGTCGCGGCGTTCACTTGGAAAGGGGAAGTTTGTCCCGGCCACGCGCGACAAGGACGGCGCGCTGCGCGCGCGCCCCGAGGAGATGGCCGCAGACTTTCGGGCCCACTGGAGGCAGGTCATTGCGAAGAAGCCGACCGGCCAGGCGCTGCGACGACGCTGGTTTCAAGAAGACTTGCCCCCCGAGGTGCTCGCGTCGTTGCCTCCGGCGGGCTCCCGGCAGTGGCGACTTCGTCGCGAGGACATGCGGGGGGCCATCCGATGCTCGGGTTCATCGGCCTCGGGGCCCGGGGGCGTTCCAGCGGCGGCCTACTGCGAGCTCGGCGAGCTGGGTTTTGACGTGCTCTTCGGCTCTTTTCGCCGCCTCGCTGGCCCCGATGGAGAGGGCCTTCAACGGCGCCATCCTCCCGACTTCAACAGCTCGCTGCTCCGCCTTTTCCCAAGGCAGGAGTCCGGATTTGACGACGAGGTCGGGCGCTACTACGACGCCGACAAGGTGCGGCCAACCAATGTGGTCAACTTCGACAACCGGATCTTCGCCGATGCTGCTCGCTGCCGCTTGGAATCCAGTTTCAAGGATTGGATTTCTGAGGTTCAGCGTGGATTCGTGGGAGGCTGTTCTCTGTTAGCCAACGTGGTCGATGTCGACGCTCACATGCGCTTGACTGCTCTTGCTCAGGAATGCGGAGCCTGCATATTTTTCGACTTCGCGGGGGCCTTCCCCTTGATCGACCAGACCTTCACCAAGGAACTGTTGGAGTGGATCGGCGCGCCGTCGACTCCGCCTCACTTCATTGCGGCGCTGCTCCAGGACAGCGTCTGCCGCGCATGCATCGTCGGACACCGTTTCGGGGGCTTCGCGCTTGCGGCCGGGGTGCGCCAGGGTTGTCCTCAATCCCCACCGTTTTTCGCCATCGCGGCTGACCTCCATCTGCGTCGACCGAAGCGTCTAGTGGCCACCTCGACCTCCCGAGCCTACGCCGACGACTTAGCCTTGGTTTCGCAGCAGCTTCTCCATGACATTCCCACGCTGGCAGGCCTCTTCCACGAGTTCGCCCTCATCTCGCGCATGGAGCTGAACATGGGGAAGACGGTGGTGGCGCCGCTCCAGCAGATCCACGTGGCCGAGCTGCGGAGCCAGATCGCTGCATTGGCGCCGCGTTGGGCAGCCTTGAAAATTGACTACGCCGCCGAATATCTCGGCTCCGCCCTCGGCCCCGGCAGCGGGAGTCGCTCCTGGCGCAAGCCGCTGGAGAAGTTCGACGAGAGGGCCGACGTCTGGGGCAAGGTGGGCTGCGGCTTCCAGCTCGCGTTGCTGGTGGCCCGCGTCTACTTGTTCTCGGTGCTCGGTATCGTGGCCCAAGTGTTCCCGGCGCCAGAGATGCGGGCCATTGACGAGCGCGCGGCGATTGCCGATCTATTCCCAGGACCTCTCGGCTGGAAATCAGCTTCGGTCATGCGGGACCCCCGTTCATGGGTTTCGGCGGTAGCTTTCCTGATGTGAAACTGCTGTCGCTGGCGGTCCGCTACAGGGCGGCGACGTGCGAGGCGACCAACGATGGCGGCCTGCATGTTCGATCGAGGGCGAGGTCCCTCCCTCTGGCAGCATCGCATTGCGAGTTCCTCTACCGCCAGGGCCACTGGGACCAGTGGTTCCAGAACGCCGCCATTCTCGACCTGGACGACGCCCTCGACTATTTCGGGGAGTGGGGCTGGACGCCAGCCTGGGTTAAGGCGCACATTCTGGAGAGTGGCGGCGCCGACGCCGATGCCTCCGCCCAGGTTGCCAGATGCCGCAAGGTCTGGCAGAGAACGTGCGTAGACCTCCCCCAGCAGACACGCCCTGAGCACGGGGAGTCCGGTGGCAGATCAGCCTGCCCGCGGCGGCTCGCCCCCTTCGGGCGCATGCAGTCTTTCACTTGCTGAGGCCAGCCGTGCGTGCCTCCCCTCCCGTCCTCTTCCCCTCCGGCCCTCTTCCTTCCCTCACGCCTCCCCCCCCCGCCCCGCTGCGCAATCCATGCGCCCGATGCGGGAGCGTGTAGGAAAGATGCCCAAGACAATCTTCAAATTCGCCAAGGCATGTTTGTACTCGTGTTCCGCCTAGGCCTGCCCGCAAGGCCGCGCCCCCGTAAGTTCGCGCCCCCGTCCTCCCGTCTGGTTCCCGGCCCTTTTCCTCCGCCTCCCCTCTTCCTTCCTCCCTGTTTGAATCGTTGTGAAATTAATGGCCGATGGATTCTAGGACGCATTGCGCCCAGCAGCCGACTCGAAGGGCATCTCCCCATCGTCTCTTTCCTCCCGCCCTCGCTTCCCGGATGCGGGGCGCCTCCTCTGCCTGTCTCGTCCTCGTTTTCCCCCGAATGCTGGAGCTTCACTTCTGGACACCATGTCCATCGGAGTGCTAGTTGTTCGTCGCTTCAGTTTCCTTCCTTTCTCCTCTCCTGCCGCTGCTGCCGCTGCCGCTTTCCACCATCCACTATAGTAATAGTTTTCTAGATTCGCTCTGTCGGGAGTTGCGCTCGAGGGGGATTCCCGGGTGCGAGGGCTTCGCCGCTCTCTCCTTCCTCCTCCTCCTTCTCCTCCTCCTCCTCCTCCTCCTCCTCCTCGTCCTCCTCCTCCTCCTCCTCCTCCTCCTCCTCCTCTTTGGCATCCCTCCTCCATATTGATTCCTTTCCTGTCACATTCAGGAAAAGGTTGGCCGTGTGGCAGGTGCGCGCGCCCGCCACACGTGTGTTGGCGCTGAGATGGGAGGCGCTGAAGCGCGTCCTTCGTAATAAAGGGAGGGGGGTGAGGTGGGCGGTGATCAAAGTAATGTGCGGAGCATGGCCCACAGCGGCCAGAATGCATGTCACGAATGTCCGTTCGGCCCCGTGTAAATTCGGCTGTGAGAGTGGGGCCGACAATATGTCACATTATTTGAGGTGTCGGCACCTGTGGTGGGCTGCCTGTTTTCCTCGGGAATTTTGTTCTAACTCTGTATTAATGAAGCTCTGTCTTGGGTCCTCGCGGGACCATGCCTCGACCCCCGATGACTCGCTCGATCGGTCGGTCTTGAGGCTTAGCCTGGCGCACCAGTTGCACGCTATCATCTCTGCGCATCCTGGTTCTGGGCCACAGCACTTACTTCGTTGCCTTGATATTGCACGTGCGCGCACGGGTAGGTAGGCGACTCTTCCTCTGGAGCGACGTTCGCTCCTCCTCTTTGGCATCTGAGGGCGAGGTTCAGAATGTGTTCTCATTCGTGGTTTCACTTTGTTGCCCCAACTTTGGGCAAATTGCCGGGCAATGACTGTCGCGGGTAGCGCTTGCTTGTCCCGGCCGCGCGGCCGATGCATGCATGTGCCCTTTCAGGATGATGCGTTTTGTGGGAATTCGTATCTTCAGGCAGGTCTGCCCTTCTCCCCCCTTCCTCTCTCCCCCTTTGCCCGAGTCCAGGGCAATTGCCGGTTTTTGCCTTCATCTCTGCACTGTGGCCGGCTCTCGTCGCGCGTTCATTCCCGTCAGTTGTCTTCCTAATCCCCCCCAAAAAACAAACGGTTTTCCGCATCGGATACAGTCGAGCTGGCTGTGTGGCACTCCAACCTGCTGTGGGCTCAGCTGCTCATGATTCAGTCTAAAGTGGCATTCGGAGGGCGCCAGCCGTACATCTACACCGGCCCTGCCCAGGCTGCCCCAGGTCCCAGGATCGGGGATCGGTGCTTGTGCCTTCCTGGCGAAGCAAGGAGGGCGCCTGCACCGTCTGGGGCGTAGGATGGGCCCGGCCAGGATCTCTGTAGGTTAGATTCGCGATCCAGCACCCCCTTCCGCCACCCCCCTCTCTAGAGAACCAGGGTTTCGAAAAATCGAGACGGGGCAAATTTCTCACCACGTGGGCCCTTTGGAGGCCGGTTTTCCCGGGACGGTGAACAGAGCGACTCCTCAGTCGGGGACGTCCAGGGCGGGGGTGACAGCTAGGTGGGCGTGTGTGTGTGTGTGTGTGTGTGTGTGTGTGTGTGTGTGTGTGTGTGTATGTGGGGGTATCATGGCCTGGGTCACGGTATCTCCTAGTTTTCATGGCGCCCTCCCTCTTCTTTCAGCACGTTCCCTGGCCCTTCCCCCCTTGTCCGCGTTGGTGCTTCAAGCTTCGGGCCATGATGCGCTGACCCCTCCTTTTCCTCGCCCCCATCTTCGGCGCGCCTAGCTCAGGAAGTGCCAGCCACGCACGGGGAAGGGGACGAGACATCCGTGGGGCCCACGTCTCGGCGAGAGCGGCGCCGCCAGTCCTCCTGGTCGGCAGCCCCTCGGTTCCAGGGGTGCCCGCTGCGCCTGCAGCTGCGCCGCGCCCTGCTGCAGCGGTCGATGATCCTCAGGACGTGTGTCAGTCCAGTGTGTGTGTGTGTGTGTGTGTGCTTTCCCTCGTTCAGCTCCGCCGATGGCACGCAGCCTGCGTCGGCCCTCAGTGCACTGCCCACGTTGTATGGAAGAGCTTCGTCTGGCAAGCACCTGCTGGCGCTAACACGCGTTCCGAGGATCATTGGAGCGCCCCGCCCCCCACCCCTCTTTCGCCACGATGCTGCCCGCGGCAGCGGCGAGCGAGCCCCCGGCGGCGGCACGTTCTGGAGGTTGTCGCGCGAGCCGCTCGAGCCGCCGCCGCCGTCGTCGCCACCGCCACCGTTGTCGTCGCTGCGGTCGTCGTCGGCGTCGCCGCTATCGTTGCCGTCGTCGCCGCCGCCTCCGTCGCCGTTGTCGCCGCCGCCGTTGTCATCGTCGTCGTGGACATCGTCGTTGTCGTCGGCCCTGCCCAGCCTTGATAGCCGCGTCCAGCCACAGCGACGAAAACCTCGAGAGACGCTCGCGCTCAAACGTCTCCGAAACGAAGACGTCGTCGTCGCCGCCGCCACGTCGTCGTCGTCGTCGCCGCCGCCACGTCGTCGTCGTCGTCGACGACGGTGCCGCCGCCGCCGTCGTCGTTGTCGTCGTCGTCGTCGTCGTCGTCGTCGTTGTCGTCGTCGTCGTCGTCGTCGTCGTCGCCGTCGTTCTCGTCGTCAACGTCGTCGTCGTCGTCGTCCTCGTCGTCCTCCTCGTCGTCGTCTCCGTCGCCGTCGTCGTCGCCCTCGCCGTCGTCGTCGCCGTCGCCGTTGCCGTCGTCGCCGTCGTCGTCAACGGCGCCGCCCTCTGGTGGCCTCACTGGGCCTCTGGAGGTTTTTGGAGGCTCCCTGGAGGCCTCCAGAGGCCACACAAGAGCGACACGCTTGCGGAAGCCTCGGTCGTCGCCGCTGTCGCGCCGCCGCCGCGGTGGCGCTCGGCCCGCGCCTGCGGGCCCGCCGAGGACATTTTTTGCTTTGTTTGTTTGTTGTTTTTCTGCTTCTTAGTTGTTGTTGTTGTTGTTGTTGTTTGTGTTCCTGGCGCTTTGTTTGTTTTTTCTGCTTCTTAGTTGTTTGTTTGTTGTTTTTCTGTTTGCTTCTTAGTTGTTGTTTTGTGTTCCTGGCGCTGCTTGGTCCGAAGCGGCTTGAGGTCTCGGCCGTCTAGACGCGCGTGCGCGCCTGCTCCTCTGACCTTTCTACGCCTTGTCGCTGCGCGCGGGGCCGTGACGCCAAACATGTGGCAGTGTTAGTGTTTTTTATTTGTTTGGTTGTTTGTTTGTTTGTTTGTTTTTTTGTTTGTTGGTTTGTTGGTTTGTGTGTGTGTGTGTGTGTGTGTGTGCGTGCGTGCGTGCGTGCGTCTGCGTGTGTGTGTGTGTGTCACCAGGTTGCTTGCGCTTCAGTTTACCTCGACTTGAGTAGTCTCCTCGGTTTTCTGGCCGCTGCACGCTTCGCTTGGATGTGCAATTTTTCCTTCACCCACCCATCGTTGCATTTGTCTGTGCGCACGTCTGCGCACTTTGCCTTCCACCATGCCCGATCGCAATTGGCACTTCAATCTGCCGACCGCGCCTGAGGATCCTCCGCGCCGCCGACTATAAAAATGTGCAGGTGTGTGTGTGTGTATGTGTGTGTGCGTGTTTGTTTGTTTGTTTGTTTGTTGTCGTTGATGTTGTAGTTGGTGATGTTGTTGCTGTTGTTGTCGTCGTCGTTGTTGTTGTCGGTTGTCGGTTGTCGTTGTCGTTGTCGTTGTCGTTGTTGCTGTTGTTGTTGCTGTTGTTGTTGTTGTCGTTGTTGTTGTTGTTATTGTTGTTGTTGCTGTTGTTGTTGCTGTTGTCGTTGTTGTCGTTGTCGTTGTCGTTGTCGTTGTTGTTGTTGTTGTTGTTGTTGTTGTTGTTGTTGTTGTTGTTGTTGTTGTTGTTGTTGTTGTTGTTGTTGTCGTGAATGTTGTCGCGGTTGTTGTTGTTTTGGTTGTTGTCGTCGTCGTCGTCGTTGTTGATGATGTTATTGCTGGTTGTTGGTTGTTGGTTGTTGCTTGTTGGTTGTTGGTTGTTTGTTGTTGAGCCTTCATTCCTGAAGCGTAATTATTGTTGATCCCCCCTCACTGGTGCATATTGTTTTTACAATCAAAGTGTGCCCCTCGACGCTCGCACCCTGTCTTTTGACAGGGAAAGCCTTCGTACTCAAACTGGGCCCCAGGCCCCCCCGGATTACAACAACAACGGCTCCCGCCTGAGACTTCCTCCAAATTTGCTCAGGACCCCCGCTCCTGAGACTTCCTCACAATTTACTCAGGATCGGTGTTCCCGCCTGTGACTTCCTCGCAATTTAGTCAGGACCCCGCTCCCATCTGAGACTTCCTTACAATTTACTCAAGAACGGCGCTCCCGCCGGAGACTTCCTCGCAATCGAGTCAAGACTGCCTCGCAATTTAATCAAGACCCCCGCTCCCGCCAGAGAGCCCTTCACATTTTATTCAGGAATTGCGCTCTCGCTTGTGACTTCCATGCGATTTATTCATACATCGCGCTTTCGACGCTCAGGAAACACGCTGCGCCAAGGACGCCGTTACAATTTACTCAGGCATCCCGCTTGAATGTCCCACCCGCCCGTCCCGCCCGTCAGGGTGTCGCCCGCCCGTCGTGGGCTCCCGCCCGAGACTTCCTTCAGGAACGGCGCTTTCGCCTAGGACTTCCTCGAATGTTCACGCTCTTACCTTCCTGCTCCTCCTCCCTCTCCCTCCTCCCTCCTCCCTGCTCTCTTCCCTTCTCTCTCCATCCTCTCTTCCCTCATCCGTATGCCTCTCTGCCCTATCCCCTCTCCCTCCTCTCCCTCCCCTCTTCTCCCTCCCCTCTCCTGCCTCCTCCCTCCCTCTTTCTTTCTTTCTTTCTCTCTCTCTCTCTTTCTCTCCCATTTCTCTCTCTCTCTCTCTCCTTCTCTTTCTCTGCCTCTCTTATCTGTCTTTCTTTCTTTCTCTCTCTCTCTATCTCTCCCTCTGACTCTAATCAACCGCCCCCCTCTTCGCTCCTTCTCTCCTGGCGTTTTCCCTTTTTCTTCGTCCCTCCTCCTCCCTTCCTCCCACTCTCCCTCGTTCTTCCCATTCTCTTTCTGCATGGCCCACACCAGTTCCAATGGTGGGCACATCTACGCCCACGAAGGATTGTCCGCCCGTTCAGGTTTGCCCGCCTGTCTGAGCCCGCCGCCCCTCGCAAAGAGAAGGAATCCCCCCAAAGGGGGTGTGATCGAAGACAAAAAGGGCGGGTATCGAGGGTGTGGGGAACTCGTTTTGAATGACACACGGGCAAGTAATAGCAAACAGTCTTAGAATGATTGCTGCTGTTTTTTTGTTGCTGTTGTTGCTGTCGTTGCTGTTGTTGCTGTTGTTGTTGTTGTTGTTGTTGTTGTTGTTGTTGTTGGATATTATTACTTCTAAAGAATAATTATTGTTGGGCCCCCTGGTGCACGCCCCCCTCGCCGCGCCTAGGCCGCAGCCACATTTTCATCATTTTCGTGAGGAAGTCTCAGGCAAAACGGGGGAGTCCGGATCCGGTTGTTTTGTTGACGCCCGCTTTCCCTGTCAAAAAACAATATAAAATGACATGTCTTGTTCTAACATAACCAAACTTCAAGAATCCTTTGCAAAAAATGACACGAAGTGCACACTCGCGCGCGCAAGATGAAATCCTTCCAAAACCTTAGTTTTCGTAGCGATTTTAACATAAAACATGAAAAACCCAATGGTTTTTCAAAAAAAAGTTTCAAAAATTCATCCCGCGCGCTCTTGCGGATTTCTTAGGAAACCCAATACTTTTTCAACATTTCTGTCAAACGGGCTCTTGCGAGCAACTTTTTCACGTGCTTCGAACTTCTGCAACAACGGTTGCGCGCATGCCAGGGCCATCATCCCTGTCAAATAATACCATATGGGACACATTCGTTTTTTCTTCGCGCGCGCACGCCGAAATCTTCAAACACCATTGGGTTTCTTAAGAATTTCAGCACCGCGTATCATAAAATCGCACGAATCGCACCGTAGGTCCTCGAAAAACACGTGCACGGATTTTCCAAATTTCTACCCGCGCGCGCTGTCCGAATCCTTAAAAACAAATGGTTTTTCAACATTTATGTTACATGAGCTCGCGCGAGCTACTTTCGCACGCTCTTTCAACGGCGTTCGCGCGCCTGCCAGGGGCCACAATCCCTTGCAAAAAATACCATGCGGGACACATGCGCGCGTCGTCGCGTCGTCGTCGTCGTCGTCGTCGTCGGCATGTTACCACAACAAGTCCGTGCGTCACCACGTCATCGAACAAAATCACTGATCACTGTCACATCCGTAGCCATCTCGGATCAAGGTATCGCCTGTGTTCTTGGATGGGTCATGGCTTTGTCGGCGAAAGCCCTTGACGACCAGTATGGCCCAGAGCTGTCGCGGCCTCCCTTGGCTGACTGCGGCAGCCCGTATCATTTGCATCAGGCGCTCGTTGCAAAGGGTATCCAGGCCAGTCACCAGGCGTGCAAGACTTGGTGGGGCAAGTATCGGGTTGTGCCTGGCAAGGTCAGTATTTCTAGCGCCAAGGAGCTGGAGGAGCAGCACGGCTCTGCCATCCGCCACCTGGGCATCGAGTATAATACAGCTTTCAAATTATGCGGGGCGCTCCGACAGTTGGATCCACCACTATATGTGCCAGATAGGGTCGCAACGGCGTGGCTACTGCAGTATTCTTCCAAAGAGACGCTTGTCAAAGTGCAGAACGCTGGCCATCTGGAGACCTGGTATGGAGAACGTATTCGCACAGACATGCCCGAGGGGACTACTGACGGGGCCGTCTTGAAGCAGTGGCTCCTGGGACATTTATCTGTATCTGCTGACGCCAGGGTATGCCAGAAGTGGCTCAGCACGGAGTGGGGCGCCAAGGGAGCATTGAATACTGCCCAAGCTGTGGAGGAATGTATAGGCCAGCGTCTTCGACTCAATCAGTATCGGGAGAGCTTCGCCGACGAGGCCGCCGCGGAGGTCCTCTCGCAGCTTCTCTCGGAGAGCGATCCTCCCGTCGCTGTCAGCGGTATGGTTTTGAGGCAATGGTACGTGAAGTATCACCCTGACTCCGGACCTTTGCAGTATGACACGGCTGAAAAGCTCGACGCGGCACTTGGTGACCACATGCGCGCGGTATATCCAGGGCTGAAGTACCGCACGTTGCATGCCGTGTTGCGTATGCGACGGAAAGCTGTCTTGGTGTCCCGAGGAGTGTTGAGACAGTGGTGCGATGTGTATGCGTCGGTGAGCTCCTTAGTGCAGGCGGCGGCTTCATCCGCCCAGGCCGTCGCCAGGCGTGTATTGAAGCGCCCGGCGGCGTACTGGTTTACCGTGGTTTCCTATTCTAGCGTCAGGAACATGTTACCACGAAAAACCAGTACAGGTGTCCAGTGTTGGAACAGGGGGAAAAGTCGTATACTAAGCTAGCTTACAGAAAATGTTACCACAACAAGTCACTGTACCCATGCGCCAGTGTAGTAGCCAAGGTCGTCCGCAGGCCACGAAGTGAAGTGTCCGAACGTCATAGGGCGGGAAGCTGGGTGTGGGTGGTGGCGAAGAGTCGTTTGGAAATTGGTAGAGCTTGAACCGGCCCCCCCACAAAGTGGGGGTATTGCCCGCCTCCTATGAAAACCCTGGCACTGGTGAGAACGGAGTGTCCCCGCGTGCTAGTAATTGTTGTTGTTGTTGTTGTTGTTGTTGTTGTTGTTGTTGTTGTTGTTGTTGTTGTTGTTGTTGTTGTTGTTGTTGTTGAGTGTTAATTGCTAAACCATTATGGGCCCCTTAAAGGCGCTTTGGCGCTCTCGCTGGGGCGCCGGTTGCATTTTCATTGAATATGAGGCTCACGCTCAAGCGGTTTTGGGGGCCGCCAAAACCGGCCCCCCAACAACAACAACGCTCCCGCTCGAGACTTCCTCTTTTTTTATTCAGGGCTGGTGTTCTTGCTTGCCGCCGAAAGCCGCCGTCCTAACAACACCAGCGCTCCCGCTCGAGACCTCCTCCCGTTTTACCTTGGACTGGCGCGCTAGTCTTTCTCTCATCGGCGCCGCACCCAGCAAAAACAACGCTCCCGCTCGAGGCTTCCTCCTTTTTTACTCAAGGCGGTGCTCCTCCTCGCCGCGCTCCCGCCCGAGACTTCCTTCCTTTTTTACTCAAGGCAGTGCTCCTCCTCGCCGTCGGAAGCCGCCGCCCCGACAAAACCAACGCTCCCGCCAAAGACTTCCTCCCGTTTTACGCTGGACTGGCGCCGCTCCCAGCAAGAACAACGCTCCCGCTCGAGGCTTCCTCCCTTTTTCCTCAGGACGGTGCTGTTCCTCGCCGCCGACAGCCCCCGTCCCGACAAAACCACGGCTCCCGCTCGATGCTCCCTCCTTCCTTCTTGCTCAAGGCGGTGTTCCTCCTCGCCGCCGGCAACCGCCGTCCCAACAAAGTCAGCGTTCCCGCTCGAGACTTCGTTTTGTTTTGCGCTGGACTGGCGCCCTACTCTCTTCATCATTGGCGCCGCTCCCAGCAAGAACAATGCTCCCGCTCGAGGCTTCCTCGCTTTTTCCTGAAGACAGTGCTGTTCCTCGCCGCCGACAGCCCCCGTCCCGACAAAGCCACGGCTCCCGCTCGATACTCCCTCCCTTCTTGCTCAAGGCGGTGTTCCTCCTCGCCGCCGAAAGCCGCCGCCCCGACAAAACCAGCGCTCCCGCCCGAGACTTCCTTCCGTTTTTCGCTGGGCTGGCGCCGTGCTCTCTTTTGAATTGGCGCCGTTTCCAGCAAGAACAACGCTCCCGCTCGAGGCTTCCTCCCTTTTTCCTCAGGACGGTGCTGTTCCTCGCCGCCGACAGCCCCCGTCCCGACAAAACCACAGCTCCCGATCGATGCTCCCTCCCTTCTTGCTCAAGGCGGTGCTCCTCCTCGCCGCCG